GAATGCATTTCAACTACAGGTTGGATGTTTCTACTTCTTTGCAGTGTTGAGGTCTCCTTCTGCAATACATGATTATTTTAAATACTTACACACATTTATCAGGAGTGAATGTAAACCTGCCCTAGTTTGTATATAACAGCTGAAGAATTAGCTGGTGTTCAGCTGTGTGTGTATGCGTCTTTGTTGTGTGACTGTAAGTTGAACCCAGGCCCTTGTGAGCTCTGGGAAACGAGGTCAGCCAGGTGCTGGGTTTGTCAGGGTGTCAGGTTTTCACCTGGGCTTGGATTGTCTGTTGAAAAGAAACTAAGTGAGTTGAGTTCTTGGTCAGATGTCGTCAGAAAATGTCATATCTGGAGTTTTTAGACTGCTTTTCATAACGTTAAAATGTCAGTGAAAAAGACATTTTAGTCTGTTTGACTCTATCCTGGATCTAAAGTAGCAACTTTTTATTCCATTATTTGTGGCCATTACCGTATGTACAGTCAGGTTTATGTTTCACTGTTAAATAGAATAATTTACACATAAGCAGCCTGACCCTGTAAGTTTTTGGATTTCCAATGTCACTGGAGTTTTAATTCTCAGCTTCAAGTTAATTACCCTGAACCTTTAAAACACAATCACTAATAAGTCAAAAATGCAATGTTTAAGTGACTCAGTCCTTTTGTCTGTGCTTGTTATGTGGACCAGAACGATGCAAAAAACCAGGACGGACCCAGAAAGAAACAGAACCGCCAGAACGGAGCACACGAGGAAGAAAATTACGAGGAGGAAGAGGTGGAAGAGGAAGAAGCCGGTCAAGATAAGGGAACCAATCGAAGAGCAGAAATGTAGGCTGAGCAGCTGCGGCGCAGTTTGTGCTGCGAGTACAGCCAGTCAGGAATTAAAACCAGCCATCCATTCAGTTTTGCTTTGGAAAATCTGAAAATTGTGCCAGGAACATAGGAATCCAAACACTGAACACTGTGGAAATGGACACAACTTTTTAATGCTCAATTGCATACATGATTGTGTATTTTTATTTAATTTTTTTACCTTTATCTGCTTTTCTGTTTCCTTGCTCCTCTGGATAAGAGAATGTATTTTTCTATCTGTATGTGTTTGTGTTTCAGGAAAGAAACAAACATGTAATTCTGATATTGTCAGGCCCCTTTTGTATGTTTTTTGCAGACAGTTGTATTTTTGCAAAGCTTTGATGTTCATTTACATCATACATTCCAATGAGTAATGACATTTTATTATTTATTGCTGGAAGTAACAACTCTGACAATCATTAAATGGTGCAACATTTTAAAACATGCATCTTCTGCTGGAGGAAGATTGACATTCAGGCTTTAACCAGCTACCAGCAGGGTGACTCGCAGGGGCATTTTGTCTGGATATTCCTGTAAAATGCCACTCAAAGAGACATTTGTGGCAAAGCCGCCAAGTGCTGAGTGTCACACTGACATGTGCCTTTCCGTTCGTGGAATCCTCTCGCCTGTCCTCGTCGCTTAACATTTAGGAAATAATTTTAATGTAAAAGAAGAGATGTGAGGACGCCGTCTGAGCTGAGGCTTGTTTCCAGTCAGCTGCTGGTGTGAATAAAATTCACCTTGTATAGAGAACCTTTTTGTAAATTTGTACACCTGTTATATTTGATACAAAAACAAAGGGATTTTTGATAGTTTTAATACCTTGTCATCTTGATGAAGTGTGGAATAAAGAGGTTAAAAGTTCTAAGTTTTGGGTAAGTCTCAAAGACTTAAAATTTAAATCTGATTGTTTTTCATGCACAGATTTTTTTTTATTTGAAGCTGTAATATAATTTTATGTGCTAAACTAACAAAGCACTCAAATTACTATTCAGTTGCTAGGAATAATTGTAAACACAAAATGGTTTTATTGCCAAATTAGTGCCTCCATTAACCAAGTAAATGGTATTTGTTTCACAGTATGAAAAAGTTTGGGGCAGAATTCTTGAGGTAGGCTTTTAAAGGAGTGCAGCCAGCATTCAGTTTCTACTTTTTATAAACATTTATCATCCACAAACCTTTTTGATCAATCAAATCACCTCTTCTCTGCCTCTTTGCCTGTGCCATCCCTACGGATCAATTTTTTCTCCACCACGTAGCTTCTCGTTTCGCTCTTTTCCCTTCCTGCTGTCACCATCGCTCCGCAGCTATGAGACAGCTGATTTCTCTTTTCTCCCCGACGGGGACAGGAGGATGGAGAAGCAGTGCGACGCTAACAGGTGTCTCATTACTGTGCTAATATCTAGCCAGGGGAACATGTACACACAGTGTTTTTGTCAGTGTTTTTGACAGTGACAAGATATGGCAGAGACAGCGAGTCCTCCAACGTTCTTCACATTCCTGTTTCTCAGTTATGTCATGGATGAATTACCAGGAGTGGATCAATTGAACATGCTGATAGCCTGGAGCCAAACTCTATCTTGAGACCAATGCCTGCATGATTCTCACCGGTTATCAGAGCTAATGCAGCTACAAGGTTTACTGTAAAGCTGAAGCTTTGCGACCAGTGATGGGAAATGGCTCCCACTGTATCCTGCTTCCACAGACCAGCTACTCTGCTTGACTTGGATCCTGTTTGCGGCACAAACATCCAGTGACCTCATTATCCCATGCCTCTGCAGCATCCCTCTCATCAGCTGGAGACTGAGCTTGTTTCGTTGAACACCCGACTGCACAAACAATTTTTCGCACTTAAACAAGTCCTAATGAGGCATGAAACTGCTACTTTGTGCAGGGCTGTATGTGCTTGTTAGAGTGTTATTTCTGCCTAAATTGTGTTTTTTTTTTCTGAATTAGGCTGAGAGTTGAGGACTCTGAGCTGTCAGTCTGAATGTGTGCTCATTTCAAATGTTTGTGAGTCGTGGCCACTATTTATATTCACACATTCTGTAATATTAGATAACCAAGTTTGAGGGGAAGGAACACCTTAAAAGTAAAACTATTATGAAAGCAAGGATTGCTGCTGTGTATAAAAGTGTCAACCAATTTATATGTAGAGTGCACCTGTTAAGATACATAGAAAAAGTTTCATGCAAAAATAAAATACTTCCAACTATTTTTTAAAAAATTGTAAACTTTAAAATGGGTCAATTTGACAGCAATAAGAGTAGAGAAAGTAAAAGTGAATATCTATGTGTGCACATTTATTGTGTGACTCATTGTGACGCAGATCAGAGAGCTGAACTGTTGACCTCCACTGTGAATCTCCTGCTTCGGTTCAGTTGAGAAAGAGTGCCATGCTGTGAGTTTATCCATATTTAACACCTTCGCTTGCCGGCCTTGCAGAGGAGTACCTGGATGAATGTAATGGAAAAAAATTAATGACTGTATTTTTTTAAAGATACAGACTACTCCCTCTGCCAGTGTCTTCTAAAAGCTGATCTTCAATAATACCAGTTCAGACCAGTGCCTCACCTCCAACTTTACATTAACTCCAAAACTTTACTCCAAAATACAGCTTTGAGCCCGTTACTCATCCACCCACAGCCCTTTGGGAGACTTTTGATAAATTTTGACTTTTCAAAGTCGGTTAAATTTCTTTTGACCCAATTTGCCTAAAGAAAAGCAGAAATCTCCATTTCAATATGAAGAGGACGTATTCCAGGCAGCTCCATGCAGCTCTAACAGCATGCATTCACACACACGCGCACACACTCTTAATCCTGGCAGATTGAAAGCAATAAAATCTTCCAAAGATTACTCTTTGTCTGTGTGTTGTGTGTGACTTAATGCATGACGCTCATGGGTCATTACCCTGTCAGCAGCAGGACATGAAAGGCCATTATCCAAAGGAGGCTGAACTATAAATATTTGATAAGTCTCTGAAGAGGATGTCCTGTATCTCATTATCCACACCATGTGTCATCTCAGGATTTGGCTACCGTTTAAAAAAATTATGGAAATATACGGTGGCTCGCTAATGCATTCTCACCCCCTTTGAGCTTTCATACATTTTCTCCCACTGTGACAACAAAATTGCAGTTATTTCATTAAATGTTTTTCTGATGGAGCAATACACACATTTTGATGAAGTGGAAGGAACATTTTTTTACAGATAAAAAACCTAAAAAGGCTGGTTTTGTATTTGACCTCACTGAATTAATGCTTTGTACAACCATCTGTTTGTTGCGATCATAACTGCAATGTATTGGTGACTGTTTCTGTGAACTTTGAGCTCTAAAGCTCTGAAGAGTTGCATGGAGAGCATCTGTGAGCCTAAATGATTTAGTTTTGACACATTGGATTTAGTGTTGAATTTTGACAGGATCATTCTAACATGTCATACTTAAGTATGACATGTTAGAATGATAGAATAGTCTGAACTATTCCATTGTGGCTGGGCTGCAGTTGTATTTTTAAGGGTCCTACTTTGTGTTGAAGCTTGCACTGAGGCTTGGAGTTATCATGTGATGAAATGTATGAAAAAAACATCCAAGGAGTATCGATGCTTTTAAACAGAGCTGTAAATCATATTTCTGTAGAAACTGAGGCGTTTCAGCTCATGTGAAACATTTCCCTCCCATTAAAACTAAACCATTTTCCCTGTCTGCCTTTCTTGATATTTAGATATCGGTTGCATTCTTGAGTATAAAAGAAGTTTAATGCCTACCAATACCAAGCCTTACCAAATGTTACAAAATATGGTCATAACCAAACAAACGAGATCCAGGATCCCAACAGCTGAAATTTACTTGCTACATAGTTGACGTCTCCTCTGCCTCAAAGGAGTCAAGTCAAATGGCACAAGCGTTGAATCAGGAGAAAATCCTGGAGTTCATCTTTCTGAGGTTTTCTGTTATAATCCCACTGGGAGGAGGCGCCTGTAATGCTCCCAGGTGTGCAAATACTTTGGGATCTTCAAAAAAGTGATGGAGGTAACACTTAGGAGAGGGATGCCTGATGTTTTATTTAATTTTTGGTCTTACCTCTAAGACCCAAATTGAAATACACTGGATAAATTGATTGAAGTTTCTCTCTTGGAGAGCTTTTTTTCTTTTTATCAAAATATTTTTATTATGTACAAAATATCTGACTTACAAAATATAAGCAAAACTCAATACAGTTCAGTTTGGATATTATTATCAAGTCTCTCACGTACAGCTTTTGACAGTCTTGGTAAATGTAGAAAATGTTACTCAGCTGGTTTTCCTTCCTCTGTGTTGTTGTTTCGCAGGCCAAAAGCGTGAACACCAGAAATAAGTCTGTTTTCATTCTCCTTCAAAGAGAGTTATAAAATGATACACATCCTGCTGGATTCTGGTCCCTTCACCAAGAGGGGCCACGAGTCTCCTGGAAGTTTGGGAATGCCGTCCAGGACCTCCAGGTTTGGCAAACAGGAGAAAACACTGCAAGAGAAGAATAGACAGCAAATGAAGATGACCTCTAGGAAACGCACCTCATTTTAACCTCAGGCTACCCACTGTGCACGATAGTCCCGACTGAAGGTCACTGGGTTGCGGGTCAGGTTAAGGGAGCGCAGTGGGCTGCTCCCCAGAGCCCCCAGTCCCCGCAGGGAGCTGATGGCGTTCTCCGACAAACAGAGGTGCTCCACCGCTGGGAGCTTTGGCAGCTGACGCAGACACACCAGGTGGTTACGATGCAGGTTTAGCATTTTGCACCTGCTTGGGCAGAAACCAATAGCACTTGGTATTACTAAGGCTTCATCATTATTCATAAAGGGGTCTTAAAATTACTTGGAAAACGAGATAATTTGTGGAAGAATATGAAAAGGGAACTCAGTTTCTGATGTGCAGGTGATTCTACTTTCTTAAAGACAAGCAGGCAGGGACTGACAAAACCAAAGCAGAAAACTTGAGCAGGTATCATTTTTAATAAACAGCAGGATAAAAGAAAATACAGATAGTCCTGGTAAATACACAGCATCATCACAGCCTAATATGGATGCAGCTTTGATCTAGAAGCATGAAAAAGTTCCTCCTGAAGCTGTTTTCTTTAATTACACCTTCATTTAAACCACTTAAAGGAGTGCCAATAGAGTTTCACCAGCTGCCAGGAACACCATCTGGGGAACATTTGTATCACAGCTGAGCATATACACACAGATGCAACGTACAGCCTGAAGAAGGAGGAGAAGGAGCGGATGCACAGGCTGAGGCAGGTCTAGATCTTGAGAAAACGTTTGTATTCCTTTTAAAGCAGTGGATTTATTGGGAAACCAAATTACCATAGGTGTTTCATATTTAGACAATGGATTTATCATGTATTCTCAGAAGTGTAGACTTTACCTTGGCAAACGTACTGAACTCAGATCGGTGAGTGAGTTGTCGATCAGCTGTAGTGTCTCCACGCGGATCAACCGTCGGAGGATGCGGAAAAAGTTCTCCCTCTGGTAGGGATCACCCAAGTTTTGGTAGGACAGATTTAGCTCCTATAGAAACAGCAGCTGTCAGGGCTTTGTCTTTCTCTTAGTTTTTCATCTGTAATTAACTTCTTCAGCAAGACAAAAACAACAGCAGATGTCTTAAAAACCAGGGTCTTTTTTTTTTAGTTTTTCTGTTTTATTACCACAGACAGTTCTGTTTTTGCTATCTGCCTACACAGACAGCAAGGTCACCAATATCACAGGCTTTGCTGCAGAGCAGTCTGAGCAGACTGTGTTTTTGAGTTTCTCACCAAGACAAATATTCCAGTTGGCGTTGTCATGAAACGTTTGATGAATGTGTTGAAAATGACCTCATACTTTGGAAAACCTGAAGCATTTCAATAAAAATCAGACTTTTTTTTTTCAAAATGTCTTTCAACAGTGACCCAAAATACAGCAAAATTATAACAGAAAGGTTCCACCAGAAACAAAAAGTAAGTTTTCAAGGTCATTGCGGTTTCATGCACAGAAGAGCACATGCATGAGGACATGAAGCACACATATTGTGGAAAGGGAAAAGGGTGAAGATTCCTCTATCCTCGTGCAAAACAGAGTTTTACAAAGTAGATATGATGATGATTATTGTGGTAGATGATTTTCATGTGACGTTATTTCATTATTTAGAAATCCTTAACCATGGAAAAAACATAAATACTTATGCTTCTATAAAGAATGATTTTTTTGGCGTTGTACACATTTTAATTAGGGGTGTCAATAACTGTGGTAAATTTTAAATAAATTCCTGAGGCTTACCAGACAGTTTTCCCAATTTTCTTGCAGTCTCTCCTCCCAGCTCTGCCCTTCCTCATCTCTCCTCTTCCTCCTCCCTCTTTCCAAACAGAAATTTCTTCCTTCTCTGAACTGAAACTCCTCCTCTGATGGGCCTTGTTTTGAAGAAATATTATTTGACCACATTGCAATGTACATTAGAATATCACTAAGCTAAAATCTACTTGTAATGCCGTAAATGTGTTACGAAAAAGATTGTTCTTCTTCACAATCCATTGGTGAGTAAAAAATGACAGCTGTTTGATTTTTTTCTTCTTGTTTTTAAAAACTGGTAGTGGTCAAAGGAGATCACATGCCTTCTCTAACCCGGGGGCAGGTCAGCTGGTCGCCTGTGACCTCACACTGCTCCAGGCGGTGCCACGGCACAAACTGGAAGCGGCTTGAAGGAAGCTGACGAGGAGAACAGGAGAATAAGAAAACAGGGAAAAATGTAAGTGAAAGCTCAGTCATAATGTAGTAATCCTTGTGGACAACATTTTTCAGATCCATCCTGCATTTTGCAACAAGTTGTGATGCATAATCAGAAAATAAAGTACCAAAGCCTAGGCATCAGTCAGTGTAGCTTGATTTCAACAGAAAGTCAATGATTAATCAAAATTCAGCACAGAAAAAAAATTACATGTGGAGTTTGGTATATTAGAGGTCGTGGTACATTAAACAAAAATGTACCACGACCTCTAATATACCAAACTCCACAATAACCTTTAATTAATGTGCCACTGTAAAGGTAATTACACACGTTATCAGACTGACCAGGGTTCAGATGGCCTCACAGGCTGACCATAGCCACTAACTGCCTGTTTTACTGACCTGGAAATAAAACTTTCCTGTCTGTATCTTACAATGTGAAGTTTTTTGTTTTCCCTCCATATTAGTTGATGCATCTCTTCAGCAGATACAGTATTACAGACTTCACATCCCACTCTGCACACTCAAATCAGAACTATTTACCTCTTTCACTTTCAGTCAACAGTAAACAGTATTAGTGTGCATTCTGTTGAATGCACACTAATATTTAAATATCTTATTGGACGGCCAATAAATCTACAGTATAAATTACATTTTAGATTTGTACATATTTTTAATTTTATGTATCCGGCTGCGTACCGTTTACCTCAGAAGTCAAAATTTGAAGTTGGGAATTACGTTTACTTCAGATTTAACAGCATCCCGGTTAACGTGGTCAGAGAAATTGGAGTTCCAATAAGGCGAGGTCAAAGTAGCCAGTGTTCGTAGCAATACTAACGAATATCATCTTAAGCTGAACTTTCCACATGCAAACACCACTTTTAATTTAGTCAATTGAGAGTTGCTGGTGCTACCTGCAGCATTCATGTTCGACACAATCTTACAAAAACAATAGCAAGCCGCATCCGCCACTGCTTACTATTGTTGAGCTGCCATCTTAGATCTCGAAGTCAGTATTTGATAAATTCTCAGATTCTCCAAGCCAGAAATCAGACTTTGTAAGGAAGGACTATGGTGTATTTTTCTAACTTGGATGTCAAAATTTCCAAGCTGCAATTACAAATAGATTGCAGCATTTATGCTCAATTTCCTTGACCCTTTCTTACCCCATAAACATATTCTTGTTCACCTCTGCTTTGCCTTTGTAATTTCACACTTGCATCTGTTAACGTAAACAGTGCGGGAGTGACCCCAGTGCACTTGACCACCACACACCTGGCGACAGAGTGGACACTTGTAAAACAGCCCTTAGACATCTGATCTTGTCATATGAAGCTAGTGGAACAGTAACATATTATTATGTTGTAAAGAACACACTTCAGGACTTTATTTGGTTATTTTATGTCATAGATTAAGTCGAAATAGCACATAGTAGTGGTGTGAAAAAAAATACTTCATGGTTTTCAAAATGTTTACCCTCAGATTCTTTGAGGGTAAACATTTTGTGTTTAATGTACCATTTACTGTGATATACCTAAACACAATCCAGCGCAAGCTGGATCAGGTGACAGATATTAGCTGACAATTAAACAAATTCCACGTGTTGTTCACCTGAATACACCAACCACACTCTCTACCTTGATCTGATTTTTATTTTATAACGAGTGTGCAAACCATTGTGTTCTTGTCCTTTCACTTTACAATCAGGCACTACCTTATGCTGGTGTAAATCACACAAGTCTTACAAAACACATGTAGGTTTGTAGTTGTACTGTGAGAAAACCAAAGGGGTGAATGTGAATAATTTTGCCAAAAAGGATCAGAACATCAAAGCTCAGCTTTTAGCAAAGGGTTGTGTGTGTACGAAGTCTATATACTTTAGATCTGTGTAGAGATCTCTGTTTATATTAGAATGTGGAGGATGAAATATTTTTTCATTTGACAGCTGGAGGTGGGAGGCCAGAGGCATATGAGCAGAAGAAGAGAAGATGAAAAAATGAGACAGAACAAAAAGAGATGAGTGAAGAGAGAGGATTAAAGACAAGAGAGGAGCAGATGTCAGTGTGTGTGTGTCACTCACAGGTGTGAATACCAGTCCAGAATCAGAACTGTGGTCCACAGAGAGAGGTGTACGAGTAACTCCGAGCTCTGAGTACTGGGATGAGTGGGATTTAGGAAAACTTCCACTGAGCGTATTCACACCAGAAGAACTACGAGAGGAAAAATAGATGTTACAAAGAAAACCTGACATGGTGTGCATAGTACATTGACGCACTCACCTGCGTAAATAGAAGTTGTATGCTGCATTATTGTAATGTAAGCCCTATCTATGTGTGTGTGCTGGCTGACACCCTGACCACTGGCAGAGTGGTTCGAGTTACAGTGAACTGGGCCTGACGATGCAGATTAGGACCCGTTGCCATGACACCAGTGGACATCTGAGCAGGTGCTGTTAGTTTCTCATAGTTCCTGTCTGCAGGTGATAAGTGGACCCTGGTATTTCTATTATTTATCCTACATGCTCTTTCTGCTTAACATGAGCCAGAGGGATTTTTTTTTTAAAAAAAAGAACACATAAATCTATTGTGGATGGTACATACCTTTCTGACATGTCCCAATCGCCACGTGATGGATTCTCTGGTCCTTTGTTAACACATGATGAGCTGTTCGGTGAAGCGTTGTTGCCCGGCAGCTGTTACCCATGGAGCCGTTGGCTTTGTTAATATTCACTCAGAGAAAGTTGCCCATCCTGTTTGCTCACCAACTCTGGCCGAGAGTCTGACACCGAAGTGGATCTCTGCTGTGCGCGAATGACAATACCGCCAGGAAGCCGCGTGAAACCGCCAAGCTGCTGGTTGCGTGGCAACACCATTCGGGGTCACTGTTTTTAAAGCCCCGTATGAAAACTGGCCTTTTCTTTTTCCGCTGTAAGGACAAGCAGTGTCGATTTTATTTATTTATTTGTTTGTTGGTGCATTGGTTTAACAATGGCACCATTTTGAAATGACTAGGGGACAGAAATACGGGCAGAGAAACTCTTAACGTAAACTGAACAGAAATGCATTTTCTTAGAGAGTTTCATGGGTTTTTCCTACTGCCCCAATGAAGAAATGTTAGTGTAATCTATTAAAGTACTGTAATTGACGCTTCGTGCCAAGTTGCGTCGCCCCCCCACCCGATTCGTTTCTTTACTCGATGTCCTGGCCGGCGACTCTTCTTGACACGTGTTTTTGATACAAAGTGTAATATTTGTCTGGTTTTTGGCTCCGAATACCAGACAAAATGTTCAGGAAAAGTTTGCAGCTCCAACTGGTTAGCAAAAACAATTTACAGTCCACAGGGGACTGTAAATTTAACCACACCCAAACCAGCGACTCATAACAAAGCCGCTTATAATAATCGGACGTTTGGAGCGGAATTGAAAATGCGCATCTCCCTCCACTGTTCATTTTTCTGTCGCTGCTGATCCTGTCGCTTAGACTCTCCCCAAGGTGCGGAGAGGAAGTAAAATTTAATTATCATCCATCCATCTGCAGCTAATCCAGGGTCGGGTCTTTGGGGTAGCAGCTCCAGAAGGGAGGCCCAGTCTTCTCTGTCCCCAGCCACTTCTTGCAGCTCCTCTGAGGGAACCTGAAGGTGTTCCCAGGCCAGCTGAGAGACATGGTCCCTCCAGCGTGTCCTGGTTCTTCCCTGGGACCCTGGCGAAGGACCTCATGGACGTCCATGAGACATCCCGACCAGATGCCCGAGTCTCAACTGGCTGTGAAGGAGCAGCGGCTCTAGTCTGGGTCCCTCCCGGATGACCGAGCTTCTGACCCTGTCTCTAAGGGAGAGCCCAGCCACCCTTTGGAGGAAATCCATTTTGGCCACTTGTATCTTGTTCTTCCAAATGAGGGCGGGAATGTAGATCGACCGGTAAACTGAGAGCTTCGCTGTTTGGCTCAGCTCTCTCTTCACCACAGCAGACCGGTACAGCGTCCGCTTCACGGCAGACGCTGTGCCGATCCGCCTGCCGATCTCCCGCTCCCTTCCTCCCTCATTCGTGAACAAGATCCTGAGATACTTGAACTCCTCCACCGGCCTCGACCCGGTAAAAGGCACTCTGCCCTTTTCTGGCTCGGGACCATGGCCTCGGATTTGGAGGCACTGATCTTCATCCTGGCCGCTTCACACTCGGCTGCGAACTGCTCCAGCGAGAGCTGCAGATCACGTCCTGATGGAGCCAATTGGACCACATCATCCGCAAAAAAGCAAAGATTCCATGCTAAGTCCACCAAAACGGATCCCTTGGCTGCGCCTAGAAAGGGCAGCCCTGGCGGAGTCCAACTCTCACTGGGAGCGAGACCGACTAACTGCTGGCAATGAAGACCAGACTCTGACACTGGTCGTACAGGGACCTGACACCCCGTATCAAAGGGCCCATGAACCCATACTCCCAGAGAACCCCCACAGGGCTTCCTGAAGGACACAGTCGAACGCCTTCTCCAAGTCCACAGAACTGTAGACCGATTAGGCGAACACCCATGCACCCTCCAGGACCCTGATGAGGGTGTAGAGTCCAGTGTTCCACGACCAGGACGAAAACCACACTGCTCTTCCAGAATCCGAGGTTCCATTAGCCAACAGACTCTTCTCTCCAAAACTCTTCCATCGTTCCTGCTTCAACCCAGACCCGCTCGCTGGAAGAGACCCCAACACCAACAATGTTTCAGAGAGTTGGGCATGTTTCTTGTCAAGATGTTGCTCCTTAATTTGTTTTTATTTGGTAGATATAGTGTTTTATTTGGTAGCACTATTAAAATATCCATGGGGGAAGCCAATATCTCAGTGTTCCCTGAAGATACATGGAGACAAAAACAAGCCCAACTCTCTTCAGCACTGTTGGCTTGGTCTCCTCTGGCACCTTCTCTTGCTTTTCCTCATTGGTCTTAGCAGTTTTCTCTACATCAGCTGACTTTTGCTTGGATTTAATTCTATCCATCTTGATTCTCAAAGCCACAATCTCTTTGTTAAGCTCGTTGTTTTCGTTTTCGAGCCAGTGCCGAACTCTGCTCTTTTCCATTAAACTGTTGGCCTGTTGCCTTATGGAAACATTTGTCCTTTCCAGTCGTTCATTTGCTCTGGATATCTCTTTATATTCTCTTTTCAAAGATTCAATTGTCACTCTTGACTCCTCCAATTCCTTATTCAGGGCCCGGATCCTTCTTTCTCGTTCTTCCTTTCTGTCATTTTGTTTTCTACCATCAAGTCATTGATGTTCGAATCGCTTCTCCCGGTCAGTTGTTGGATTTTAACTTGAGGTTCTCCACTGTTTCAGCAGGATGTTTTCCTCCTCTAGCTCCTCGCAGCGTCTCTCCAAAACATCCACGGTCTCAAAAAATAAACCTCTTTATATTCAAGAAATATAAAGATCAATTTATCTCAATGTTTTTCAATCAAACAAATAAAAAAACTTTTGGAAATGTAATCACTGTGTTTGTCAAATTTTCACTGTTTCACATCAAAGCCACAAGAAGTCTGTTGCGAGTGGGGGTGGGAGAGGATGTTTTTTATTTTTTTTTTTAACTTTATTCCCCGACACACTGTATAACGACAGAGTGAAACATTTTTTTATGCCTCAAGAAAAACAAATTCAGATTAAAGCCGAGGGACTCGGTTAGCATCTTCCTCAAAATCCAAACATGGCGGCTCCCAGAACCAGCACGAGGAATGGGTTACTCACCGCACCGAGTTACCAGTTTATTAAATGGCTATAAAATTGCTCCAACTCCGGTCCAACAGTCCGTTCAGGCTCACGAGCATGGTTCGGGTCTGCGGCTCCAAAAACCAGGCAAAATGTTCAGAAAAAGTTATCAGCTACAACTGGTTAGCAAAAAGAATTTACAGTCCACAGCGGAATAACCCGAACCTCGACCAAGAACAGCCGCTGGCCGACTGACAGAACTTAGAGGCACAGCTCCAGTACAGTTCGGTCCATCACAACCAATGAAATTGCTTAAATTTGATTTTGCCCTTGACTGACCAGTAAGGTAGGGACACGTGAAACTGATGCATTTACTTGCGGTAGTAAATAACAGTTATTAACAAAACGCTACATTTACTGCGTGTTTTAAGCCAACAAAAATTTCCAAAAGGAAATTTTGGAATGTCACTGCCGTGACAATTCCAAGAGGAAATGTCACGGCAGACGCTCTCGCAAAGTTTTCACGCCCATCCGCCCGTCGATCCGTTTTGACATCTTTAGCTGTATTTGTAATGCAAGTTGTTTAAGATAGCAACCGTTCACAGTAAAACATGACACTTCCTGTTCTCAGGGGGCGTGGCCTAAGTGATGTCATCATTCGACAAATAGGCTATTGTAGAAGACCTGATGCTGATCAATAACAGTAACTTTGGTGCCTCTGTGAGTTTCTGTGTTAGATATTACAGTTTATTTTTTTTATGGTGAGTAGGTGAACTTTGACCCCTGGAGACCCCCCTTCAGCATACTCAAAAACTCACTGTTTTGATAACTTTAGATGGGACATGCCTTATGAACAGACTGAGTTTGAAGCCGATCAATCGAAATCCCGAGGAGTTCGATCAAATACAAAGGCTGTAAACGGTAAAAATGGAGTCAAAATCGGAACTTCAATCCAAAATGGCCGACATACTTGCACTATGACATTAATTGTAAATTTTGAGCGTCTTGGGGAGCTCTACAAGTGTACCAAATTTCATGCCTCTATGATAAAGTAAGTGAATAGCAAAGGGTCCTTTGAAAATTGCTAGGTGGCGCCGTTGAGCTGTTTCTTGTGCAATTTTTGCGACGACCTTAAAATACGAAAGTTTTTAAACATGCATAAGGCCTCCGCCAAGTTTGGTGAGTTTTTGAATATGATAAAGCCTCCAAAAAGCCAATTCATTTGGAGGGAAAATCGTAATAATAATATTAGGCCTTTGCAGCGCTTTGCTGCTCTGGCCTAATAACCTCCTTCATACAAGCCATAGATCCTCAACAAGATGGATGAAAAAACAAACATTGCACCCTCAAGATATTTATATCCACACAGCTTGCAGCCTTATTATTTTATGAATTCTCTGTATTTAAAACCTCATGGTTATAGTACTGTACATGTTTGATTTAATCGCAGGCATAATCTGTTTATTGGTTGTGTGTTTAATGAGCTATGTGATGCAAAATTAACTTTACCCATGCAGGACACTGTCGTGCATATTTCATGAAAAAATAAGCTGTGCCAGTGTCTGAATTTACAAATGCTGAAGTATTTTTGTAAAGTGACATTTATTTTTTCTTCTCCTAATTCCAAATTATGTTTAAATAGCCCAGCAGAAGCTTATACAGTATGTTGTCGTCACAGTTATACAAGTCATGTTGCTTAAAACAGTGTCCTTTAGTGATACAAAAACCCAGTAATCACACGCAAACGATTATATGTCCATATATATAGAGAGAGAGATATTTTAATGGAAACACATTCAGGTTTGGTCAAATAAAAGAATCAATACAGCTGGTGTTACTGTTTCCTGCTCAATGTACATCCACAAGAGTGCTGCAGATCTTCCTTCATCCTCTGGTCCATTGCCATAGCAACCTGGCCTAGTTACACAATCCCCTCGGCTTACCTGTACGATGCCCAGCTCAGGCCCAATTAACCATTCACATATGATAAGGCATAATATTTCCTCAGGAGCTAAGCCATGTGCCTACAGCAGACCGAAAATGTCTCAATACTAAGATACTTTGTAGGAACGCAATGCTTGCACAGTTTTATCTGCAATAAAAAGTAAGCAAATTTATGCATATAAAACACAATGCTAATCATACAGAAATATAGCTGAAGTGTTGCTCTTAAGTTGAGTACATTTTGAGTGTCATATGTTTTTATGTAGCAGGTGAGTAAGAAGCAGAAGCTCCTGAGCTGAACTTAAAGGGGCTGTGCATGGTTTACATACAGTGTGTCCCTGTGGCTCATACAAACCGCACTTTACTAGTGAATATTTACTTCTACCTGTCTGCGTGTCTGTATCCTAGAATTTAAAGCTTCCAGTATAAAAACTCTGTCACATTATACTGAATGCTTGTATGTCGTAGTTTCATCATATAACATATTATAATAGAATAATGTATATATTCTTTGTAAAGAGTATAAAACAGAGCTGAGGATGGCGATAGAGAATAGGTAGCATTTATGACGTCAGGATTTGATTGACAGAGCAGCCTTGCGTCTCGTCTAAATGGAGTCAAAGTTGTGGTCGAAGGGCTCGACGACTTCGGGAGTCATGACTCTGCCCATGAAAAGAATGGAGCCTTAAAGAAAAAGACACGTAAAGGAAAGTTTCAGTTATGTGAACAGCAGAAACCTGGCGTACAGGCAGAATCATGCTCATTAAATTCATAGACTGTCTGGACTTAACATTTTTTGAACATAGTGCCTTGCAGCAGTATATTCATATTAATACTTTGGGATTTATTTTTTTACAGTAAACCAACACAAAAAAGTGCATAAATGTAAATTGGGAGAAAAATTATGATAGATGTGATTTATTTCTTTTAAACACTTCTTGAAGGTGAAAATAACAGAACTGTCGCATCCTTTTTCAGAAGTCAGATAGGATGGAAAGCTACTGAGAGCATCAACTTGGTGCAGATTATCTATTGGAGGTGTCCAAGTAGAGTCCTCGACAGCTGCCATTGTGCAACTTCTAGATACACGTCTTCTCCATCACACCTGAATCAGACGAAGTGTTTGTTAACAGGTCTCCGTTGAGATGAATGGATCCTGCTGAGGGGTCTCAGCTGTGTGACTTAGGTATTTTGGAGTTGAGATGTCTCTAAAAGTGGCTGGATGGACGCTCTCGAGGATTGGACTTGGGCAGCCCAAACCGACAGAGCTCATTTCTGACAGACTTTCCATTTATTTAGCTACATCAAATTCCTAGCAACATACCTGCTACAGAAAAGCAAGCCCACAGCATGATGCTGCCAGCATTATGTTTCACTGTGAGGACAGCGTGTTCAGTGTGATGTGCAGTTTTAGTTTTCTGACATCAATATCATTCTGCACGTAAGCTAAAAAGTTACATTTTGATCTCATCTGAACAGATTTTGTTCCACCTGTTTGTCCTAAAATCTTATGTTGACATTTTAGGACAAACGGGTGATGTTTGTTCACTTATAATTTTACATCTGAAGGCAGTTCGTTGCACTGGATTTTATTTATGAGTAAAGGGACCTGAGAAACAATCCAAACCCACACTTTTACTATTTTGAGCATCATGTAATATTTTCCTTCTACTTCACAGAAATGCACTGCATTGTGTTTTCTCAATACATACAAATCCAGTAAAAAAAACAACAACTAGAGTTTGTTGTTGTGACATGTCAAAAATATGGAAAAGTTCTACTCTTTTGGAATGTCCTCTGCACAAGGCTCCTGTTATACTGCACACTGATATACACATACACAAACGCGCACGCGCAGACACACCTGTTCTTCTGTTTCTGATGACAAAGAAGAATGGATGATCCGCCATGACCTGCTGATTCAGCACCAGAGTCCTGGTCAAGGCAATCATACCTGACAGAGAACAATGAGGGATCAGTTCAGTACCTTTTCTACTTATCCACAGTAATCAGTGTAGTTTAAATTAATTTCAGTGTATAGAAGTTATTCAGTGAAATGCCCCTGCAAAAAAAAAAAAAACAAACAAAAAAAAACTACCAGATCCAACAGCTCCTTCTGAACCTTCCTCCGTCACCTCCAGATAAGCCTTTTGCACTGCCTTTCCAATGTACAGGTCCTTACCATCTGCACAAGACACAGGCGTCACAACTGTCTTTTTAACATGCACATAGGAAGGCAATGAAGTTTTAATATAGACTATAAATTGCATGTTTAGCTCAAGTATAAACACACAATAGCCATGGGTGTTTATTAAACCAGCACTGACAAGCAGACAGATAGACTGCATCAAGGGGCACCTTGCTTAAGACATTAAATCCAGCCTAATTATTTCCACAGAGACTGTAAGTGAGTTAAGTGGCCTTCTTCTTATCTGCCTGACCTGTCCTCTGAGTACATGTGAAGCTGAATCTGTTTGAATAGGAACGTGCACAAGTTGCTATTCTGGCTAAAGACTAGACTTTACAATGTAATCCCCTTTGTTCCACATTATTGAATTTGGGTGATTTCAACAGCATAATTAATGTTATCAAAGCATACTAAATTAAAGGTTTTATTCCATCATTTCTTGTATATTGGGTTATATATGTTAACTTTTTGTGTCTTTCTGGTGCAGATGTAAAATATCTCCATATACATCCCATATTTCTTTGGCTGTGTGTATCTGAGCTGCTCTCTGAGGATCTATTTTTACTGCTTGATGTGACAGCTCTGAACTGCCCACTCACTGACAATTACTGTGGTTACCTTAAAAAAGATATAGAACATTACCTCTTGCTGCCAATATGTAGACTCCGCTCATTTACCAGCTTTTGTCACGCTGTTTGTATCCATGTGATTATTATGAAAATTCACCAGC